TACAGTTGAAATACCCCCCTCACATAATTTGAATATTATATATCTTATTGACTTGAGCTTTCCATCAACAATGTAACTAAAATATGCCAGGATATGAATGTGTGAACAGTTCTGCAGTCACTGTTTGAGTGTCTCTGCAAGATCACCCTGAAGAGCGCCCAGTGCATGACTGCTCACACCAACAACCTGCAAAGTGGCAATTGGTGCTGCTCCTCTTGTAACCATGGCACCCCAAGATGTGGCTCTAGAGATGGGTTTTGTGACCTCATTTTTCACAGTCTTGTGAAAGAAGTCCTCAAATGACACACAAGGTGCAGGAGGATCACTGCTGCTCGAGCTGCACTCAGAAAGATGTGGTGAATTTACACGTGCATCAGAGCCTTCAAAACCTCCCTCGGTGTCTGTAGATATGTCTACAGGCTTTGAATATTTTACCTTCATCCTCTCAAGCCAAAAATAGAAATAATAAAAAAGTGTAAATTCTGTCTTTTCTGGGCACAGATACACCACAAGCCTCTCTGTCTTTCTCTCTTCTTTCACCTTTAACCCCCCAATACATCTTAAAGCTCTGCCAAGATATCTAGGTTACTGAATCTGAGATAAACTGCCCGATATTGTTCCCTGTGGACTTTGGGCCCATTAGCAGGACAAATGATCTGCAATTAATGTGCTCAGAAGTTTTGATTTGGGGAGGGGGGAGTGGAGGGGACAGGGGGATGAGAGGAAGAAAGAAAATGAGGAAGGTAATTTTAATGTTTGGAGTTTTTTTTCTCTAAGGGCTTGTTTGTCTGTGCAGGTAGAGTGTATTTAGCATAGCTGGAACTGACCTTTTGTTCAGGCTCTTCTTTATACTTGGATAAACTGACAAATAGCTCTGTGATCCTTGGATGAAACATGCACTTCTATCCAGTAAAAATATACAATTTCTACAATCACACAGGTGTACCTGTGCTTGTAAATATAATTCCCATTTGAAATTAGAAAACAGACCTGCAAAGGCTTTCAAACATGACCTCAGCAACTAAGTACACAGTAAAACTCAGCTGTTACCTTTGTGTTGTAAGTTCTAATACTTAGCCTTTAACTAACCTGTATTATTTAAATTCTGTTTATAACGTTTTATTCATATCACAATTTTTTACAAATTGATAAGTATTAAGAGTATTTTCCCTTTGTGTATCTTTATGTCTAACTTATTCTCTGGCAGTGTTCTACTTTGACTGAATCCTGTGTTTCTTTTTTACATCCAATCAATAGTTTGTGTAATTTTGGTACCTTTTGTTCTTACATCTCTAAAAAATTCTACCATTAACTCAATTCCCAGATGATTAATTCACTACTCCTAATATTTCATTCTAAACAGTAATAAATCAACAAAATAAATCCTATAATGATCTACCTCTCCCATGCTAAACTACTACCTACAAGGTCTTTTCTAGCAGGGCCATTTGCTTTCAGTGTAATCTTGAATGGCCTAGTGAAATTGAGAGAGGCTGACCTAAATTTCCAGTGGTTAGTTCATGTCTTTGAATCAACCAAAGCAAAAAATTGGAACCTTTAAAATACCAGGCCACACAGGTGTCCTGGCTACTGGGCTAATTAGCTATCCTGGGATCATTTCTGTCCCCCTCTGGGTTTTTTTTTCTAGCCCTTACTAGTGGATTTTTGATTAAAACATGGCTATTTCTCATGAAAAACCTTAGTCAGACAACACAGCATTTTCAAGCAGAAAAGTGTTCCCTTGAAAAACTCCTGCTCAGCTGTGGTTGCCATGGATAAGGATGTAAATCTTCCACATGCATAAAATCATACAGATTATCCAGCTCTCCTTTTACTTTGCCTAGCATGTTTTTCACATCTAAATGGGCATCATAAAAAGACTTAGCTTCAGCAATTAAGGGCATGCTAAACCTCAGGGTGTTGGGCTGGATTTTCACTGGGCTGAATTTTTCAGTTCTGCAATTCCCAATGTCATTCTTTCATGAAGACTCACACCTTCAGACACACTAGCAAGGGAGAACTGATATTCTACCCTACCATTCAATATCTTTCGAATCCCTTACCAAAAAGATTTAAATATGTCCTTAGAGAAATCATTTGCTGATAACATTTTTTCAAAACTATCAAGTCCTACAGTTCTGTTTGAGCCCCACAGCATCCCTGACTTCAGGAATGGAGTAATTTCTCTAGTCTTTCTAGAAATCTTCACAGATTACTTGCACACTTTAGGATTTCTTTTTCTACAGTTCAGAAACTTATTGAAAGCATAATAAGAAAAACCACAATCAAAACAGCCTCACAAGGTTGGTAGACCTAAACATGGATGCTTAATTTATTATATGAGATATTGAAAACCTTGGCAATTGTCTGATAATTGTCTTGATAAAATGACTGTGAAGCAGCAAGGAAGATGCATGTGACACGTTATTTACACTGTGATACTGTTTTTCATCTAATTTGCACACAGACTCAAGCCTTGCAGTTTTTACACTTCATTAACAAAATTCATTATACCTAATACACATTACTTCAATCTGTCTGCTCCTGGGGCTTTAAGACAGATCTGTGTATCTTTGTTAGGCGAAGCCTACTACAAAACTGTAAAATACAGCCAGGCAGGGAATGCCTTGCACTTCCCAGTCCTGAGAATTGCTACTTGAGTTATCTCCAAATGCCTAATTCACCTACTGATTGACTCTTTACTCTTTCCTTGACACCTGACTCCTGTTTTTACTGGATTTGGATATTCAAGGATTTCTTCCTGTCCTCGATGAATGCCCTTTCTTGTCCTGATTTTTCACATTGCTTCAAATGCTTTTGAACAAATGTTGTTATTTTGCTAATCCTCTGCACGGAGTGGCTATGAGAATTTTAATTTCCTTTTAAAATCTGCATAGTATTTGATCACAAATTCACAGGAACTATGCAAATCACTCCTTGCAGAGCTGCACCAATTCTCAGTAATATCACTGCTATTTTGTATTTTGACGTACAACTTGTTCTCTCGCTGTGCCTGCCATTTGCTGCTTTCTTACCTTCAGTTGTTTTGCAGTTCTCTGCTAATTCTGATGACCTTTTTCCTTGTTCCCACTACTAGCTTTTAAAGCCAGATGGTTTGCATAACCCATGAGAATATACTAATTTATGTTTCAGCACTTTCATTTCTCATCTTGTCCTTTCCACAGAATGCTTTTCCCTCCTTTTTTGTTTCTCCCCTTTTAGAGCTCAGATTTCTCTCAGAGTCGTCAAAATTGATTTTTCTGAGGTAAAGGGACCTTTTGGCTTTGTGAAACCACTCTCCTGCAAGACATAAACAGTCATGTAACAGACCTCAAGAGCAGAAATGTTCAAAAAGACCATCCATACAATTTTTTGAAATTTCAGTTTTCTCAATCAAGTATTACCCTTTTTTCATCTGAGTCACCAACCTTAACCACAAAGGAAAGGAGGTGACTTTGCACCAGTTCTAGAAGCAATGATTTTTTTTCCCAGCACAGAGGTTCATGGTTTTCCCACAGAGCAATACTGAGAGGACAAGTGTTGTCTGCAGGTGTCTGGAAGTGCCCCTTGCTCTCCCCGTGAGCTCCCACCCAGGCCCCCCGCCCCAAGTCTTGGAAGTGAGCAAGGGGGAAGGTCTCTGCTCTTCCAGGGTTAGTCTGTTCTGTGGACATTTGTTACTTGCTTTTCTGCTCTATGGCAAAGCCACTTCATGTACTAAAATTGTTACTCTTTTTAAATATCTTGAGTGTGTCTCAGTCTGGTTAAAGGTAGAGATGAAGCAGGTCAGGTATAGTTAGAGCTGTTCACCTGAAGGTTGTGTGAATCTGAAACTTCAGGGAGGAATAAAGCAGATGTTTAGGTGACAGGGGGGCTGGGACCAACATCATATGGTGTGGCATGGAGCTGGCTGTCCTGGCCAAAAACACATCACCCTGTATGGAGAGGTGGCACCTGTGCTGTGTCACCTTGGTGGCTATGACTGCTGCGTTAGTGGCTGAGTATTGCTACAGTGAATTTGCGAGACAAGGAGAGCCTGTGAACCAGGAGGGACTCCATGAGCTTGAGACTCCTGATCCCTCCTGGCAGCCTGGACTGATGCTCCCACTTGCACAGAGTGATTTGGGGACAGGAGGGGACAGATGAACATGTCACACATGTGGATGTCTCCCAGGCAAACTCACAGAGGTGTTTACCTGAAGGCTCTTTAAACCCTTTGGAACAGCCAGGAATTTTCTGTGGAGAAAGCATTGGTACACAAACAGCTGCTGAGGAGACCACAGGGAGGATCCACTCAGCTGGCACACGTTTCAGGACAAAACTTTGATAGAGTGGACTGGTTTCACAGAATCCCAGAATTTTTAGGGTTGGAAGGGACATCTGGAATCACCTTGTCCAACCTCACTGCCAAAGCAGGGTCACCCAGAGCAGGTGACACAGGAACATGTCCTGGGTTTGGACGTCTCCAGAGAGGGAGACTCCATGACCTCCGTGGGCAGCCTGTTCCAGTGCTCTGACACCCTCAACGTAAAGAAGTTCTCCCTCTTGTTGAGGTGAAACTTCTTGTGTTTCAGTTTATGGCCATTGCCCCTGTACGGCTCCATTGTCTCCCCGTACAGGTGTGTGAAACAAGCACATTAACTCCCTTCCATGCCCAGCCATCTTTACGGGGGCTGCCGGCGGAGGATCCCGGTCTCCGCCAGGGCCGCTGAGGGCAGGGGGCCGGGGGCCCCAGCGCTGCCCTTGCCCGGGGGAGCCGCTTCCCCGCGGTCCCGGCGGGGCGGGCAGGGCGGAGCGGGCGGCGGGGAGCGCTCCCCCCTCACGGCTGCCGGGCGGGCCGGGGCGGGGCCGGGGGCGGGCGGCGCTGGTCGCTGTCCTGGGTGTTGAATCTGCTGCGGCTGCCGGGGCCGGGGAGCGGCCGCGGGTGGCACAGGGCGGGCGGGCGGCATGGAGTGAGGGCTGGCGGCGGCGGGCAGGGGAGCGGGACATGCGATGGGCCAGGCATGATGGACACGCTCGGCTCCGTCCTTCCGCTGCTGCTGCTGCTGCTGCTGCTGCCGCCGCCGCTGCCGCAGGTGCTCGCCGCCGCCCCGCGTATCCAGCCGCCCTCCGCGGGGGCCGCCGCTGAGGCGCGGATCGGTGAGTGGGGCGAGGGGAGGGGGCGCGGGGCTGGCGGGGAGCGCACCCCGCGCTGCTGCCCGGGAGCTTCCCCGCAGGCAGCTCGGCAGGGCCCCGGCGGCCGCGCCCGCACGGCGGACGCTGAGGGGCCCGTCCGCCCGTCCGTCTCCACCGTCCCCGGAGAAGCGGCCCCGTCCGCTCGTCCCTCACCGCCGGCTCCGGCTCCGGAGCTCCGTCCTCTGGTTCCTCACCGCCGGCTCCGGATAAGCAGCCCCGTCTGCCGGTGTCTCCGCACCGCCTCCCGCTGCCCGTCCCCGTCCCCGTCCCCTGGTCTGTCACGACCCGCTCCCGGCCCCTCGCACCTCTTGCCCCGCCGCTCCGCCCCAGCCCCTGCCCCAGCGGCGTGTCCCGTCTCGGGGGACACCTCTGCGGGGCCGCTCTCACCTTCTGTCCCCGCAAGCCGAAAACTTCCGCCAGGGCTCGCGAGGCCCCGAAAATCGAGGTGCGCCAGAAAATGCCCCCGAAAATGCTTCCAACCTCCACATATTTAACCCTTCTCCCGGTTTGCTGGATTCAGCTCTTCCATTTGAAGGAGACAGGAAATCTCCAGGCGACAATCCCCCAGATGCAGCCTCTGGCGGAGTCCCCCCTCCAACTCGTGCTGCTGGAGGTGGAAGTCAGCACTGGCTCCGGGTTAAGGCTCTTTCAGAGCTGTCAGAAAATCCCCAGTGCTGCCCAGTGCGGACCATTAAAGAGCCACTTTCTATTGAGACATTCTTGACCGACCCCTTCTTCATTTAGAAGGTACCATCTGCACTAAACAGCCCCACTTGGGAAGTGACCCACACCGGCATGAAGGGATCCTGAAAACAAACTCTGTCTGTTTCAAATCGATGCAATTCTCCTGTGACACTCTCCCTGGCAATTCTTTCCTTGCATTGACACATTCAGCACTGTATGCTCACCTGAACTGTCTATTAATATTAATATCAATATCTATTAATAGAGTCGGTCTCATTTCACTTACAATATCTTCCCAAAGCTCACTTTAAGTCAAGAAGGTCATGAATAGGAGAATTTTGTATTTTTTGCATTTTAATATCTACCTAGGGTGGTTATGGAGATCAGAGTGAAAGCTAAACAAACTATCCCTAAGAAACCTTTTTCTAAGACAAAAAAAAAATTAAATTTAAGAAACAAAAGAAGCCTTCCAGAGGAATATTGCTGCAGTTTTCCTCATGTACATTCTGTTTATTATGAAGGAATTAAAATCAGCTGACCATGTTTATAATGAGGCTTCAGTCAAGTGGCAATAAAAATGAGCTATTATGCTTGCTATATAGTGAATGTAGTGATGCAAGGTTTTAAGGAGAAATGGCTTGGACTGGATTTATCAATCTCTCCTCTCTCCTGGTTGCTATAGATATAGACTGTTTCTCCTAATCTGCTGAAGAGAAAGCTTGCATAAAAATATTGCAAGTAGTAGCTGTAATTTTCACCTCTAATAATGCAATAGCCTGCACTGTGCTTTCAAAGTAATCCGATTTTGATTCTCTCTCCCTTAACACAAACTGCAAATCAGTTTGGGTCACAGAGTATTTTTTCACTTTGTTGTAGCTGAAACACAAAAACAATGTGTGTGTTTGTTACTTCCTTCCAGCTTCCCTGTGCTCCTGCCTCGGCAAGGATCCCTGCCTGCCAGTTAAGGCTGTCCTTGCATGGAAGGGACTGGGGGAAGAGCAGCCTTGGTTTTACACAGTGAATCCACTGCTCTGGAGGTATAATTTGGAGGCATTTCAACAGCAGCAAAACAAGCTGAGCCTCCCTACTTCTTGCTGGGATAGGGCCTCACTGATATGTCAGGGATCTCTGTGAAAGATGGGAAGGGATTGATTGTGTTTGACAAGATGCAGGAAAATGTTTGCATTGCTTGAAGTGAAACAGTTTTAGCTGTCTCTTCCATTAGAGTTCCTTTATTTCTTTTATTGACCAGTGTTTCAGATCTCATTAATCTTGAGTTCAGACTATTTATTATTGTAGATTCTGTTCAATTTTGGAGTACAATTTTTAGACACAATCAAGGGACATAACTGTAATTGTACACGGTATCTGAGTTTTGGGATTATTTGTAGTTATGTGTGAAAGATACTAATTTGGTTTCTTCTTGTGCTCAGTCCCATCTTCTTTAATTGAAAATTGAAGACAGACAGATGTGTTATGGGACCGCTAGAATGTGTGCTGAAAACTGTCTTAAAAGCAAAGTAATTATAGAAACATATTTTTATTGGGGTTTTTACCCCATTATTTCAGGAACTCTTCCTATAAGTTGTTTCAGAAGCAGAAGTTCATGACCTTTACCATTTCATGGAATGAATTAATCCAATTTCATTCTTTTCCTCTTTTCTATGGTCAACTTTGGCATGCACTTTCCAGTATAGTGAGCATCTTTAAATGTTGACCTTTATTTTGTAACATTATTACAAACTTGTGTAAGAATTTAGAAGATTTAAAGTTGGAGTTAACTGAGATACACGATTTGGACTCATGCGTCTTCTGCCTCAATAATTCATGAAGCTTTGTAGATTCTTCCTGTGGTGAGGTGTTTTGTTAAGGTGCAATTACCAACAGAAGCACATATTCTTTCATTTCTTGACATTTGCCTTTCATCATTCATCATTCTGTGATGATTTATAGTAACACTTTAAATGTGAAAAAATAAGGAAAAGTAAAGTCTTTTCCTCTCTCTTTTTCTTCCCTAGGTCTAGGCCAGGAGAGAGATTTTTCTCTTTTTCACAGAAAAAAAATCAACAGAGTACATAGTAGTATTCATTAGTCTTTAATGAAACACTGGGCTTGAGAGTTTAATATTCTAAAGAAATCTTTATTAATTTATAAGATACAGTTCATTTAAGATTATGGAACTTCTTTTTAAGTGTTTTACAAAGTAATCATCTGTGGAAAAATACTTCCTGATCATGTTTGCTCAGTTCCAAAGGTTTGGGTTGTTCCATTCTTGTGTTGGCCATAACACTAAGCAGTACCTTCAATGAAAGCTACAGCTCCTACTACTGAAATATTTTCACTGTACAGCCTTTTAAGTAGACTAATTGATTCAGAAAGTTGCAGTGGTACTTTATTTTCATTTTAGATAGGCTGGGTGAGATAGAGAACTCGATAACAAAGTAAGCTGTGAGCATTCTCAATCACATTCTTTCATTAGTACTGAAACATCAGTACTTTATAGCAGAAGTTGTCCTCATATGTTTCAGAACAGAGTAAATGTGCTTGCTGCAGTACCTTCACATTGACCTCTGATGTGTAAAATGATGCTTATAACCTTCAGCGAATATAATTTTGCAATATAATTTGATCTTTTGTGCTGTGTGCAATCCCATTTTTCAGTATGCATTTTCCTCTTAAATGAGTACATTGATATGCTGTGGAAATTTCTGGAAACATTTGTTCCACGCTCTACGTAAATTTGTTCCATACACTGTGTAAAAGTTCCTTCAGAGTTGTATTGAAGTAATCACTGGCAGAATTTTTGTCTGTCAAATGAGTGTAAATTTACTTTTTAACTTGCTAACAAAAAGACAAGTCACATTTCAGCTTATAAATATGAAATATACTCCTAAACCTTTAGCTGTGAGTTCCTGACACATACAGTGAGCAAAGACAGTGTCTTACATTTCTCTAGGATTTAAATGTAATTGAGGATAGAAACTTTACTCAGACTTAAAAAATGTTGCATGTTAAGTTTAGTACTTTCACAAAGTACTGTGTGCATATTTAACCACTGAAAAAAAATATTTTAGAGGTGGGTTAGGAGTTGCAAATGGCTAAAGTTGATCAGAATTAAGAAACTGCAACAACAGGGACTTCAGTTACTATTGGTGAAAAGCATTTCTCCAGTGTCGATTCTTAAATTGTAAGAGTTAAATAAAGAGTAGGACAGGTGAAAAAATTATTTATTTAGCTTTTCTGCATTTCATTCAGTGTTTTGAACACTATCCAAAGGAGGAAGCAACAGAGAGCTTTTGGCTATGGATGTCCCATGGGGAATGGCAAAGAAGTGTATCTTGATTTAGTCCTTGTGGGATGGATGTCACCTTAACAAAACTTAACGTAGCTGTTGTTTTCAGCCATCATTGCTAACTGCTATGAAGATCCATGAGGGCAGAAGTTTTGCTTATTGCAGTAATTGAGCTGAAGCTCACTGAAGTCAATGTCAACCTTCCCACTGACTTCAGTAGCATTTGGACCAAAGTTCTGGTTTGAGGCTTGTAGCAGACTGGCTGAGAAAGTAGGAGAATTAGAGTTTTACCATCTGTTCAGTACAAAAAAAAATTGCCTGACTTTCCGGTTGCATTAATTTCGAACTTCTCATAGGCACTCTGGTTTTTAATAATGTCTTTATTTGATGTAATTATTGATGGTGGAGTGTAATTTATGATATAATAGTAGAAAATAAAAATAACAGCAAAATAATTTAATTAAGACAAGGCTGTGTGCTCAGAATGTGAAGGATTCAGTGTAGGAAACTGGATTCTTCCCTTCATCAAAAATAGTTTTGCATATCCTAGAAATGTTTCTTAAGTTATCAGTTACATTAAAAAGCAGCTTTAAGGTAGATTGATATCAAAGCATGTCTATCTGTCAGTTCCACTGAATTACAGGTAAGAACATGCATTAATATTATTGGCATCATGCCATGACTGTTCTAGAACAGCTTTTTTACTGTAACTTGTTTGTGTTCAAAGTTGCAAGTGGACAGGAAGTGAATTATTTTCTGTCAGTCAAAGGAAGCAGTTGCAGGCTGCTGTTACAGTTGTTCATGGGATGGGATTTCTTGGGAGTTTTTCTGTGTTCTTGTTTGTCTTACTGACTAAGAGAAAACAGAGAAGTTTTTGGCAAGATAATCTTGTCTCTGCTTCCTACCTGAGTGTGCCCCAGCCCTTCTAAACCTCACCACAGCACACCATCATGGTGCCATGACGTCAGCCAGGCTGCTGCGTTCCTCC